AAGTATATAGTTCTGATATAGATGCCAAGTACTTACAGCATCTATGTCAGAATTGGATGCAACTCTGATTAGCAGGCAAGGTCATCCATTTGTGCTTTCAAATGTTTTTGCTTCTCCAGCTAATTAACTTCCTTTGTTTGTAGAAGGATGTGCCTTACTAAGACAGTATAACACAGCCATGAACTTTTGCTGGATGGATGAATGAAGCTTATGTATGGGTGGGAGGCAGGAGAGGGGGAGGGATGCCCGCCAATCTGCATCCTTCTCTATCTTTTGCAACCCTGGAAACTTTGTTCCCAGTTCCTTCTGCCAGTCCTTTATCCAAAAAGGAGACGATTGCGTGGGAGAACAAGCAATGATCTCATAGTGACTTGATGGGCAAGATAAAACCCCACAGCCTTCTTTGATGACTCTGTTGAAGCATATGGGAAAAAGAGAAGCAGAGATCTTCAGCGATAAGACTCTTCACCACCCATGCTTCAAGAGAGTCTAGGGCTGACTTTGGAGGGATTCTCCTAGATTTTAGTTACAACTTAGGGAAATCATCTCATGATCAAAACAAGATGACACTCAGCAATCAAGTAAAGTTGCCGTATCTTCACCTCCGCAGTTAACTAACACACGTTCTTGAAGAAGCAAAACAGACGGAGGTGGCACAACCACTTTTGCAAGCCAACTCTGCCCCATCTAAGTGACAGCTCCATAGCTATCAAAAAGCTAGCCAGGGTGGATGATTGTTACATCCGTGAAGAAGTCTCTCAGACATCTCAAGCAGCAAGCAAAATCAGAAAGGTTTTGGAAAGGAGGAACAACAGGGTTATTTTTTAAGCTATTAACTCAGGCATTCTGGCAAGTACTTTTTTATTTGAGAAAACTTTATATAGTAGAATCAAATCAAAGCAATTGTATTCTTCTTCTCTCCCACCCCATCCTTTTTTTAAAAAAAAAGACATAAGGAAAGAGGCTTCCCATATGGTTTCCTAAGCAGGTACAAATTTTGCAAATTCACATGAAGTCGATTTTTTTTTATTAGCTGTACCTGCAGCTTAGTATAAAAAGTAAAATCTCCTTCAAAGCTTGACTCTGACAACTTCATGCACAAATCCATGTGCCCTTCTTCACCAAAAGATCAAGATGTTGTCATTGTTTTCTTCCACAATGTTTCTTTATCCTCCCAGTCCCTCTGCTGTGCTTTTAAGCCCATTTACTACATCTAAACAAGCAAATCCATCATTGTTTTTTTAAACAAACCCTGGCACACGTGATTGTGATTAATCAGTGACTCAGATGAAGATTTTTCATACATGCTCAAAAAACTCTTTCTTATTAAGATATATCTCAGTGCATTCATAACTCATTGCAAAGCTGAAGCTAATAACATACAAGTAGACTTCGACTTATGACAGTTCATTTAAATCAAATCAAATCAATCAAACGTTTATTGTCAATGCACAACATATGTACAATGAAATTGAAATGAGCCTCCTTGGTGCTGGGCTGGCCCTGCAAGTCTATATTAAACCTAATTGTGGTGTTTATCAGTGGTGGAATTCAATTTTTTTTACTACCGGTTCTGTGGGCGTGGCTTGGTGGGTGTGGCAGGGGAAGGATACTGTAAAATCTCCAGTCAGAGGTGGGATTTGCCGCTTTTCCGAACTACTCAAAATTTCCACTACTGGTTCTCCAGAACTGGTCAGAACCTGCCGCATACCACCTCTGGTGTTTATGTTGTGTTCAGAAGTCTAGCAGCCCACGGATAAAAGTTATTTTTCAGCCTATTCGTTCGGCTGGCTATGCTTCTATATCTCCAGCCTGATGGTAGGAGGGTAAAGAAGTGCTGACCAGGGTGTGAATCATCCCTGAGGATTTTCCTCACTCTGCTGAGGCAGTGAGTCCTGGTGATTTCATCCAATGGTATCAGGGGACGGCCCATAATTTTTTGTGCTGTGCTCATCACCTTCTGTAATGCCTTTCTGTCTGTAGCTGTCAATCCAGCATAACCATGCCATATACAATATGTAAGGACGCTTTCTATCGTAAACCGGTAAAAGGAAATCATCAGTCGTTCCACCTGATATTTCCGCAAGACCCTAAGGAAATGGAGTCTCTGTTGAGCCTTCCTGACCAACCTGGATTGTGTTATTTTTTCCAGGTGAGATCTTGGCTAAGGTGGACTCCCAGAAATTATGAAAGAGGAGGCCTTTCTCCACACAGCCTCCCTTGATGTAGAGTGGGGCAGGTTCCCCTCTCTGCTTCCGGGAGTCTAACACTATCTCCTTTGTCTTGCTGATGTTGAGTGACTGTTCAAAGTTACAATGGCACCGAAAAAAGTGGCATGACCATTTCCCACACTTATGACCATTGCAGCATCCTCCTGGTCATGTGATTAAAATTCAGATGCTTGGCAACTGATTCATAGACATATTTATGACTTTGCAGTGTCCCCCGTTTGTGAGCTTCTGACAAGCGAAGTCAGTGGGGAAGCCAGATGCATTTCACAACTGTATTACTAACTTAACAATTGCAGTGATTCATTTAACAACTGTAGCAAGAAAGGTTGTAAAATAGGGCAAAGCTCACTTAACAACTGCCTTGCTTAGCAACAGAAATGTTGGGCTCAATTGTGGTCATAAGTCAAAGACTACATGTATAACATAAGGGATGGGGAGGAAGATGCAGTCAGTAAGTTCAGTGTGGATCACCCTCCCAATAATGATTGTAGTCAATAGCACTGAACTTTGAACTGTGCTCCCCTCTGAATTAAAGGAAAACCTGAATTCTGGGGGAAGATAGCTGGATTTGATCCTTGCTCCAATAAACTGATTTGCTAGATTCATTGTTGTCCTTTATTGTTGCTAGATTTATTTGCTAGATTCATTGTTGTCCTTTGCTGGATTCATTGTTATCCTTTATTTTAGAGCTAAGGTATGCCAGTTGAGATCCATCAAGCACAGTGTGGATAGTATTTCTCTGCATTTGGTCTCTGTGCTTAGTGCTCAGGAAAGCTCATTCACCTAAAGGGCTATAGGCTGAGTGACCCCACAATAATTAGCATGTTTTCCTACCTACCCAAACCAATTTATCTTGCCAATAACAGTAACACTTACCACAAATCAGGATGTTTTCAACCATCTCCAGTTAAATTTGGCCAAAGAGGCTGGCATTTAGTCAATTTTCTGCTGTGAGAATATCAAGGGATAGCATTCTTTTTGCATCACAGAGAAGACAGAGAAAGAGAAAAAAGGACTTCCCATTTCCCCATGAGATTTTATTTAAAACATAAATTTAATGATACAAATAATTTTCAAAGACACTTAAGCGAAAACTGTCATTCTTTGGGGGAACTTTCTTCATGTTGTGTTGAAGTCGCCTCTCAAGAAAATGCATTTCAACTTTGTCCCTCTGTTGTTAATATAGAAGGGAAAGTTCATAGAAATATATAAACCCAGCAACTAAAAAAGGGCAAATCCTGTAAATATCTTAGCCAGAACACAATATGTCCTCTCTTTTCCTACACTGTGGTGTTTCAGAGGTGAGAGGACAGTAAAAATAACTCATCAAGAGAAGAATATAGTGATATTGTACAGGTGTGCTTGTGAAGAAAGAAAGAAAGAAAGGAAGGAAGGAAGGGAGGGAGGGAGGGAGGGAGGGAGGAAGGAAGGAAGGAAGGAAGGAAGGAAGGAAGGAAGGAAGGAAGGAAGGAAGGAAGGAAGGAAGGAAGAAAAAGAAAGAAAGAAAGGAAGGAAGGAAGGAAGGAAGGAAGGAAGGAAGAAAGAAAAAGAAAGAAAGAAAGAAAGAAAGAAAGAAAGAAAGAAAGAAAGAAAGAAAGAAAGAAAGAAAGAAAGAAAGAAAGAAAGGAATCTATGGGAGAATTTGAGGGGATCATATAGTTGCCAGCTAACTGTTGGGAGGATTCTTGCAAATAATCCTGAGTAAAATTTGGTCTAGTTTATCTAAGTGAATTTTATATTCACAAAAGCATATATTTCCCCCATTGGTAGAAAATGGGCTAGAAAAAGAATAACAGCTATTATTCAGATTAGTTATGTTTAAACAGTTAAGAAATGTTTCCTTCTTCATAGATTCAAGACATATTGAAGGACCTTTTTAGAAAGGTCACAAAAAGGTCACCAGCCCATTTCTTGGTTCAGAACTATTGCTGAGATAAGCAGTTTTAAAGTGGAGCCTTATTTCAAACCAAGAAGGGATAAAACACACTGCTGATGCACAAAATGTGTATTTGATAAGCGAGTCCTTGGAACGAAAATTGTGAGGACAATAGGATTTAACCTTTGGGAGGACGTTCCTTCAAAATGGTCTTTCTACAATCTCCAAGATTTATCACATATGGAAAATATCACAGGCTTGATCTTGTAGAGGGAAGTTAAAATATAACCAAAGTGAATGTCTAAATGAAAAGGGCACGATCAGTTCTCCATCTGGTGGCAACTGCAGTCAGTAAGACCCTAATTTTCACTAGCAACAGATTGGAGTTCTGTCAGCTTTCCAAATATGAAGTCAATAGTGGTGTTCACAATGATGTTTCCTGATGATGATGGACCAATTCAATGAGCCAAGTGATGACCATAGTGGAGCTGATGGTGGAGAAATTCTTGGGATAGATTTATAGCCACGCAGTCAGGGTGAAACATCCACTCACACATCCACAGTGCTTTCATAAATGACTTGTGTAAATACTCAGTTGTAAGGAGAAGCAGGTACAGATTGTTTCTGGGGTCAGAGATACTCATCTGGGTTACAGTGCATTTCTTGCAGAGTGGGTAGGAAAGAAAATAGTCATGGCGCTGGTTATTTACAGATTGGGGTGGGTGGGTAGCAAGTTGGATTACTCCAGTCGCATTCGAATTGGCATAAGCAGTTGATGAAGGGGTATAATAAAATGGCAAAACTCTGAGGACTTTCTGGATTAAGAAACAAACAAATCAACTTTCACACATATAAGTATTGATCCCGGGATCCTATATTTTTTCCCCCTCATGTTTTTTTTTTTTTTTTGTATAGTCAGCAATTGTTTTCTCCCCGGCTTTCCACATTCCATCCTGGCCCTTCAAAAGGATCCCTTCACAGAAAACAGTTTTTCCCCTTCCTCACCAGTTCTTCCATTATTTATATGAATTACCCCACTGTTACTTTCTCTCTGCTCTGATAACCTGGAGGGATCTCAGTTCTCACCCCCAGGGACCATTTTCAAGGGGTGTAAACTGTTAATGGAGCTATGCCGAAAGGCTATCCTTGTTTTAGGAGACTCTTCTCCCTCCCTGTGTTTCCCAAAGTCTCTACATAAAAGTGTGTGTGTGCATGCACAGGCTACAAGGCTGTTTACACCAGAGCGGAGACCACACCTAGGGAACCATGTGGGATGGGGGAAGCCTGTGGAGGAAAACTTGTTGGAGATCCTAAAAAATGAGGATTGGCTCCAAAGGGGAGCAGGTGTCCTGGTAGCATCATGGGGCTGAGAGGATAGAGGGCAGCAGCTTCTTCCCCCATCAAGGAAGAGGGCATCATTTCCAAGGGGGTGTTTGCAGGGATTGTGGTTTCCCCAGAATTCCCTTTGCGCTTTTTGGATTTGGTGGAGGAGACCTTGCGGTTCCGTGTTTGAATCCCGTCCTTGCGCATTGCCAAGGGACGATTCACCTGTATGGTACCAATAAGAGAAAAAGTGAAGGTGAGATTAAGATCTCAGAGACAATTCATCTGGTGATAAGTATATTACATTGTTGTAATACATTTTAAAACAATACAATTACATTATGATAAGACATTATTCTGTCGGCCTAAATCTAAGGTCATACCTCTGGTCTGCTAAATGGTTGGTGGTATGAGCAAAACAGTATGGAACTACATGACATATAAGGACAATAAGCACCCCGATCTTTTCCCTGAGCTATTCAAGGATGGCTTATATATTAAATGCCCCTAAGCCTGTGGGACCTTTTCCAATATATTCCTGGAAGCAACCAGCTCCCACTCACCCACTCAAGTACCTCTCTCTTTCATGTACATATACTGTCCTCCACTCTCTTCCTATTGTCTTACATTGTGCAGTTTGTAATAGAGGCCACAGGCATTGCATACGGGTTCTCCATTCATGTTACGGCGCCAAAGAGTTGTGGTAGTCGTTTGGCAATTACTACACTGGGTTCCAGCTCGCTTGCTGACAATCTGCATCATGGAACAAGGAGGAGAAATAGATACTCACGTTATCAATTTTGGAAATGATACCCAGGGCCCATTGTGTTTCCTTAGAGCAACATTTCTTAAATTGTGGTCCAAGGACTCCCGCGGACTCCCCAAGACTCTCTCAGAGGTTCGTGAAATTAAAATTATTTGCTAAATATTAAAGACATTTGCAAGAATTTTAAATAATTTTAAATAATGGCACTTTTTTCTTGATTGTTTTTATTTTAAAAACATATAGGCTTTTTCATGCAAATGTATTTATTTATATTTGACACTTCTCAACCACCTATCCCCCTCAAAGGGTTTATATTAACATCTAATGGGTTTAATTATTATTAATTAATTTTAATACTTTATATCTGAAAAGAGCAATTGTTATAAATATTGAATCATTTATGTGTTTCTTTTTTCTTTTGATGGCTCCCTTCAACTTCAATATTTTTTCCCCTACTCTGATGTTTAAAACAGTAAAATCTAAAAGTTTGGAATATGTTTTGTAGCAAAACTATTGCCAGGGGGAATCTAGTCAGTTGCATAGGTACCCAACAAATCACAACAGCTGAGATGTAATGGGTGGCCAGATCCCATCCCATCCTCAACTTTAATTACAGTCTCAGTTGCTATAATTAATAGTAGTACAATCTGAGTTATGTTATTAAAGAGATACAGTAAGCTTAACCAGGGAATTAGATGTAAATAATGGCGATATACATATATTTGAATTGTAAACCACTCAGAGTCATTGATTGAGATGGGCGGCTATAGAATTTAATAAATAAATACATAAATGTTTGCACATGTCTGTGAAAGCAAGAGACTGGCCACTAGATGACACTGAACTTTATTGTATCTGCTGAGGTCAGAAATTTCCTGTTCCTGTTCTGTTCCTTTGTAATAGAGATAATAAAAATTCTTGTCTCACTTCCTGATTTATTTGTCCCCAAACCATCCATGACTTGCTGTTAGATGTCAGGTTTTTAAACCCACAGATTCCTAACGAGATGAGAAAAGTGACAGCGTTCTTTGTACTAAAAGTCTTAATTTCTAATAATACAACAGGGCAGTAAGAATTGGGTGGGAAGGAAGACCTCTTTTGCCTAGCTAAGATCTCAAGGAGAAGCCAATAGTACAATTAGATTTGCTCATTTACATATGTTATTGGTAAGAAAGGAATGTCTATAATGCCTTTCTCCTTCCAAAGCAAACTTTGTGATTATTCTCGGCCAGGCTGATATGAAATATATCCCCAAGAAGAGTCATTGAGATTTTCTTCAGTTGGTTGGAAGAAAACCTTGGCAGATCATGGAAACTACAGAACACCCTTTCCACACTGAACTCAGAATATTTAATTTAAAAAAAAAATCTAAATTACCTACAAAGATTTCTGCTGGTTGAAGCCAAAGTCCCAAGTAGGCCACATGATGGTTCCTTAATCCATTAGGGGAAATTCACAGTAGTGCTGGTAAAGTATATTTCTCAACTAGTATTTGAAAGCCCAGTTCTGTGCTGGTTGTCAAAGATCTTCCAGATCAAATTCATCAGCTGATTATTACCTATAAAGCTTCTGCAATGTGGTATCAGAGGACTAGCTATAACTTGCTCATCTTGTAAGAGCATCAAGAAAGGTTGGCTCAAGATCCCATCATGATGTAAGGTGAAAGGGACATGTAGCAGAAATTAGCCATGTCTTTCCTATGGTTAGCAACACAGGCGAATGCTGCCCTGTAAAAGCAGGATACTTCACTCCTGAGACCAGACGATTCTCTGTTTCAAGCAGACATTTATTCTGAGTTGAGGATGGGTGGGCAACCATTTTTAGCTTGGTCTGGAGGTGCCAGGTTTTGCTGCAACCATCTACTGTCAAACTCACAGCATTACAGCAGCGTCACATGACGTATCGGGATTTCCCCCCCCCCCTTCGTTAAACCGGGTGTGGCTGGCATGTGATGCATCTGGCCTGCTGGGAGTTTGACAGCTCTGATCTACTGTATTTAAAAGAGCATCTTTTTTAACAAACATAATTAAGACACTGTTTAACTAAGCAAAGGGTTGCAATGTTGAGATGGAATTCTTAAGAAGGTCAGCAGGATGCACTTGCTGGAAAGCAAGTGTTGACTTACCAGGCGTTTCTTGGGCCGAATGAGGGGCCGGTTCTGACCATTCATCTTGTGATAGAGCCCACAGGCATTGCAAAGATAGTGCCCAGTGCCATCTCTCCTCCACAGTGGGGTGGCTGTAGCTCCACAATTCACACACTCACGTGCCTCTGCGGAAAGAGGTGGAAATAGACATTCAAGGAGAAGACAACATGATAATTCAAGTGGGAGGATACCATATGTTTTTTCGCTTCTAGGAAAGACTGTCATTCTTGTTGAAACAATGTTGTGTTGGAGAAGGACAGTTTGGGAGAGGGCAAGAAACTATTAGGAGCCATTTTGTACAGTGAGCTATCAAATCAGGAAGAAGATTCTGCTTTGAATATACAGTACAAAGCTTAAATAACTCAGAACTAGAACACCTGTCAGATTGCCTCTGCTGTAGAGACCTGTTCAATCATGAAACCCTTCAAAAGACATCCTGCTGCATTTGACAGGCATCATCTTGCCTTTAGCTGCAGAAGGACCTTCTCTGGAGTGGCATCTGCTCTTAATGTTGCGATATTCATGAAGCATGTCTACTACAGTAGAACAAGAAAGGTCTGGTCTCACGAGATTCCAAATGGGAGAAATTGCATTGTGAAGCTCTTGGGCAATGCTATGGATTTAATAGATTTAATTTCAAAAAGATTGGAGTGGGCAAGGTTATAAAGGTAACAGCTGTTTGCAAATCTGTTCAATAGCTGAATCTTTTCCTAGGATCATGGGGGTAGCTATGGTTTAATAGCCATCTCTTTTAAAAACCAAAACAAGGTTAAGTTTGGGAAGTGTATTTTATCTCATTATACAATAATTAGTGACACTAGGCAATTATACTTGGATAGAATTTGGGGTTTCCATCACTGTCCTGTTCTTATTATTTTTATTATGCTGCTATTGCTATTAGAGAATCCAGTTCAGAGTCCTTGGAAAAGACACAGGCTTAAGATGTTGTAGATAGGTGTTATGTTCATTTCTCAGCCCACTCCAAATAATCTTTTTGGAATCAAATCCAGATTGCTATGTAACTTGATTTGCTAACATTGGAAACTCAGAATAATTTTTTAAAATTAAAATCCATGTCTTTAGCCATCAAAAAATGCACTCTAGTTTCTTACTTTTTAAAATGTTAATACTGTGGATAAGACATACATTTTTAGCATAAGGTGAATAGGGTTCTAGTATTAGTATTAGTATTAGGGTTCTAGTATTCTGTGAATAGGGTTCTAGTATTCCAAACCTGCAATTATTTTATAACATCAAAGATATCCAAGAGAAGATCTCACCACTGGGGGAGAGCTGCATTGTCCCTCGGAGTTTGGGGGAATATCCAGCTGTCAGGGGGCTTCCAGGCATCGGGAAATATCCATACTCCTGTCCCATAGTGTAAGGACTTAGGGCCATGCCAGTTGAGGTCCCGAGGGGCAGCAGTTCAGCATGAGTGGGGCTGATCCGTTCTGTCTTCAACATCTCCAGATACCTGGGGCTGCTCTTGCCATCGGGGGAAAGGTCCTTGGGAGAGGGTGGTGAATGCAGGGTGTGGTAGGAGGACGTGGCAGAGGTGTAGATAGGAAGTCCAGTGTGGTTTTTCCCAGAGGGATTGGACACCCAGGCTGCTGTGCTGTAGGGATGGCTTTCCCCCCATTGCAAACCATTGAGAAGAGGGTATAATTGCCACACTGTTGTAGAGATGGAACATAATAGTAGTAAATGTAGTGGTGATGATGATGATGAGGAGGAGGAGGATATAATTATATGCAAGAAATAACACTATAATGAGCATGTGTATGCACGCTTGTAGACTAAGAAAAAAGTACATTGCCCAATGAAAGATATCTAGTAGATAAGATGCTATGCATGGTTTCCACCATCTAATCTGAACAACAAATGCACCTACTTTTGATTGCATTTGAGGAAAAGCTTGACAGATTTCCATACAGGAAATGAAAGGAAAACATGATTGCCACACACACAAATATATACATACACAAACATACAAACGTATGTGCATGTGTATGTTTACGTTTCTATGGTATTTTATGTTTGGAAAAGTCTGCAGCACAAAAACACTAATGTTTGGAAAAGTCTGCAGCAGGAAAACACAATAATAACAGTTACGGTTTACACATAATGTTAAGCCACAATCTCCTGCACAGTCTTAGGTATTCAGGCTGTCTCCATCTTCATGGCAGCCATTTTGGTTGCCGCTGCAGCTTGTCTTCGGATGAGAGGGCTTTCCATATCAGAGGGGAGAGATGCAGCTCTCCTCTACCTGCCAGGCGGTCTCCCTTTTCTTCACCACCCCTCCAGGGTAGCTATGGTCTCGATTGGGGCCCTCCAACGAGGTGAGCTCAGAACGGGGCCATATTGTTTGTGGTCCTCGCTTTTGAAAGCGACGGAAGTCCAGCCGGAAATCAACCACAATCTTTTTTAATGTGGCTTGTTGAATAAATCTGATTTTCTGGATATACACCCAGCATACTTAACCATAAACTCTGGTTTATAACCACAATGGTTGTGTTTATACAACTCACTAAACTGAACATAGCATGTGAACATAGCATGTAATATCAGCCAAGCAACCAGAATTTCTCAACAGTGTTGAGGCTATGTAGAAGAGCAAACATGATAAAAAGGAGCCTGTTACACAGAGAATTTAATCTAAGCCAAGGCTTACCAGTGCTTGTCTCTAATGATGGGTCTTAAATCAAGCTTGTAGCATAGAAAGACGTAGAAAAATTAATTTTGAGAATTTAGTGAGCAATTTTGCCAACACAACAGATTTGCACAACCATCCATGACTGAATAGAAGAGTATTTTCTAATATGATATCCTCCAATGTATTAGGCTACAATGATCACCATCCCTGGCTTTAATATAAACCTCTGCATATGACTTTAAATTGGGAATAAGCTGCAGACGAAATTGAGGTGTCCAAGCCTTTCTTTAAAAACTCAGATTGGTTTCCAAAAATCACAGCATCCATGGCCAGTTGTTACATTCATACCTACCTGGAGAGTGTCTGTAAGATTCAGGCATTCGAGAGAAATATGTGGGCAAAGCATTGGAATCAATTCCCTCAGGACTCGTAAAGAAAAGGTCTGAATCGTCATTTCCTTGCAAATGAGAGGACTCTATATATTGTGGGACAGAATCCTGACTGGTGTAATCCATTTTCTTGTCTTAGAGCTTTCTTCTGCAAACGATAAAGCCTACATTAAAAAAAAAGGCTGTCAAACAAAACAGAAACTACTAGGTATAAAAATACTATATTGTTGCAATCAAGTATTATTTCAGAATCTAGTACTTAGAGCAGTGTTTCGGCAACTTTAACTCGTATGGATTTCAACTCCCAGAATTCCCCAGCCATCCATGCTGGCTGGGGAATTCTGGAAGCTGATGTCCACACTTCTTAAATTTGTCAAGGCTGCAAAAACATTTGCTTAGATGGATGATAGGAACTAGAACTCTGGGATCTATTTCTTCACTAAGGAAACATGGAATTTTCAAGAATTTTAATTTTATATAAGAACTTGTAAAGTTTTTGTGTAAGTAGGTCCATTTCAGCGCAGTCAAGAACTTTCTGAATAATCAAATTATTTGTTGGCCTTCCAGCATTGTGCCAATGCAATTCTTGCTGCAGTTATTATATGGAGAATTAAATATTTCATTTCTTTTGCGTAGTTCCCTTTTAACATTCCCAACAAAAATATTTCAGCCTTAAGTTCTAGTTGGATATTTGTAATTTCTTTTATCCAAATTCTAATTTTTTCCCCAGTGTTTTTTACTTTTTGGGCAAAGCCACCAAGTGTAGAAGAAGGTACCTCTTGTATGCTTACATTTCCAGCAAGTCGGACTTAAGTTTGGGGACATATTCACTAATCTTGAGGGTGCCAGGTACCACCGGTAACACATTTTATATTGATTTTCTTTATAGACAGCTGATTTTGTTATTTTGTAATTTTGTTTCTAAACTTTTTCCCAGTCTTCCAGATTAATGTTGTGCCCTACATTCCTTGCCCATGCAATCATTGGGCCTTTAACTAATTCTTCCGCCATTTCAAATTCTATTAGATAATTATACATTTTAGAAATTAATTTTTCATCTGTTCCCTCTAATATTTTATTTAATTGGTTCGGTTTTCCCTCAATTCCAAATTCTTCTATGTCTTTTTTATACCTCATCTTAAGTTGTATATAAGGCCACCACTCTATTTTCATCCCTTGCTCTCTAAGTTCTCGGTTTGTCTTTAAACCTCCTTGAAAATTTAAGACATTGTAATATCTAATCTTTCTTCCTGTTTCTAAAGCCTTGGGGTGGATCACTGCCTCCATGATGGATATCCACCCTGGAATCTTCATATAATGTTTATGTTTAATCTATTTTCACATTTTCAATAGTGAGCTTCAGATTACATGCTTATTAAAGTGTGTATAACTCTTATTTCCAGGGTTCCACATGAAGGCATGCCACCCCGCCTCCAGATCATGCCCTTCTAGGGTTAACATTCTTTTATTTCTTAGGTTGGCCCATTCTTTAATCCATGTTAGGACTGCTGCTTTATAATATAGTTCCCAGGCAGGGAGTCCAAATCCACCTCTGTATCTTATAATGAGCTTAGTTTTATTCTTGCTTTTTTCCCTAACCAAATAAATTTCATAGTAATTTTATTTAATTCATTAAAAAAAAATTGTCTAATTTAATTGGAATAGTTTGAAAGAGAAATAGTATTCTTGGCAAGATGTTCGTTTTAATGGTTGCAATTCTCCCTAGCATTGATAGTTGTAGTTTCCCCTATTTTTCTAAGTCGTTTGTTATTTCTAATAATAATTTTACAGAATTATCTTCTTTTATTGTTGAACATCTTGCCGTGAGCCAAATTCCTAGATAAGGAAGATTCAAGACAGCTTGGGAAAAATCGTACAAGTGGATTAAAGATAAAAAACCGGGGAATTAAAAGATAAGAATTTGAAAAATGAAGTGGTTAGATTAAGAGCATTTAAAAAACAGGAACTGAATATTAGTAAAATTGTTTTCAATAAAAGATCTCACTCTTAGTTGATTAGAAACATATACATTTTATTTTTATGTTTATTTGTTATATAATTGTATATTGATTTCATTTGTAACAAAAGGTTTTATTCTATGTATTGTACATATTTTTCTTTTTAATCTTAATAAAGTTTATTTTTAAATTAAAAAAAAGAACTTGTAAAGTATATGATGAGGTAAAGACTAATATTTCCTGAAAAATCTTCATTTCCTTGGGTAATGTGGAATTTTCAAGAAAATTTGTTTTCAAAATGTCTCCTCAGATGGCACAATTTACAGGCTATAATGTATGAATCAGCAGGCACTTGGGGCATTCTGTCAGTCTAATCACAGGTTCATTGTTGGAACATCCCATTGCAGAAAATGTACTAATATAATGTTTATTAGCTACCCAGTCTCTCTCTCTTCTGTGAGAAAGGAAAGTGTACCATCATCACCTATAACTTTTTCTCACACTTTTCTCATACTCTAAACTCCTTACCATCATTGTCACCCTTCTCTGTCCTCTAGGCATATTCCAGCTTGTTATTATTGTTCCTGAACTGTGTTTTAAATTTCCTATTATTCCTTATAGGGCATGCTTATATTTCAACAAACTAATCAACCAGGTGAAATAATTCATATTCTTGATAAACTTTCATTCTACTTTATCTAAACCCTTTCTGTATTTGAAAAAATAATTTGAGAAATTGCTCTTGTATCCCACTATTTTATTTATAATATGATTTCTCATTAATCTTTTATTTACTCTCATCATTTTATATCTGTTAAGATAAATATCTTCAATTTATATGCTGAAATTGCAGACAATAATTTGCTTGATCCTTGATTTCTGTAGGTGATTGTCATACAAATAAGATGTGACAGTCAAATTTTGAACTGGCCAGGACTTTTTTGAGTAGTTAAGGGTGCATGCACTGATTAAAAAAAAAGTAACCAATATTTCTCTGTTTTGGATTATCCCAATTATCAGCTGAAATGATGCTCTTAATAAGTTGATTTTTTTTAAAAAAAACACAAACTTTTCCATAGAACAATATCCTGCCTGCACAAAACAGAGGAGACAGTAGCATTACTGTGGTGGATTAACAATTCTCCTTTCAAAAGATGATAAATGGTAAGTATTGCATATCATGGGTACTTCAGGGTAAAAATATACTTTCCATATTTATGTATCATCAGCTGGACATGATCATGCCCGTAAGAGACCATTATGTGTATGCAGTTGTCTTCCCTGATCCTAGCAATATTATTCCTGGTCTAAAACTACTCTGAAATTAAGAAATGGAGGCATCCAAATTACTTTCCTTTTTCTATCTTTCTCTCTGATCTCTTTCTCAGAACTGACAACTCATTTTAGAGCGTGCTTTCTTCTCAGATAAGAGCCTATACATCTGATTATATTCCTTCCCCCCACAGTGTATTTTTCTGCACTAGCCTTGTGGGTATGTGTGTGTGTGTCCATGTGTGCAATAATGCAAATTTACTAAGGGACTCCCCTTATTTCACTGAACATAATGCAGAAAGGCAATGTATCTCACGTTGGGGAACCCCGGTTCAAAAATCCCCGTTTAGTCATGAATTTCACAGGAAGACTTGTTGTGCACATCACCAAGAGTTGCTTTCAGTAAGATGGGCACCTATAAATGTGATAAATAAATAAATGATTTAGGGCCAGCCTCTCTTCTCTGCCCACACTTCTTTTAAAATTTTGTTGACAATAAAACAGTAACGATGATGATGCAACCATGCAGATCAGAAATACCCACCTTTTGCCTTAACCATGATCAACCTTTGAGAAAGTCATCAGTGATTTTTCTGCTTGTGACGGGACTGAGACAGAATTTCCTCAAGCAGGCTTTGGATGGACTTCATAGCTCATTCTTGGCCACGTTTATCAACTAAGTCACAACTGGCTGCGTTCACTTAACATGCTACAGGTCTTTCCTGTACTGATTAGAAATACTGTTTACCCATCCCGGAATTAGCAAGGAAACTCTATGGGCACAGAATGGGCCCATTCCCAATTCCAATCTCAGTCACAGCAGCTGCCTGGTTTCCTTTTAGAGGATCTGAGATTGCCCTTGGTAGGGTAGCATCCTAGAGGTTTGGTAGAAAAAAATAAATGCTACCAGCCAGGATATGCTTTGTCCCGTAGTTAATGGCAAGGGGGGAAAGGCGCTAAGTAAAAACTCACTGAACAAGTTTCTCACTTAGCCACATAAATTTCAGGGTCAATTGTGGTCATAAGTTGAGGACTACCTGTATTAGATAACATCTGTTTGTGCTGCTGGGGGAAGATGGGAGTTATGCTCAAAAACGCCAACCTGAAGAAAGCTATTTGAAACCAAATAACTAAATCAGAGCAAATAAAGTGAGGTTCCCTCTGATGTCCCTGTGGCTCCCATCCTGCTGGCATTTCAGAAAACCTTGAAGGCCGTGTGGTTCTAGGCCTTAGGCTGGGGCATTTGGGACGCCCTGCCAATTGGGTGTGTGTATGGTTAGTCGAATCTACCATCAGTTCTTGTTTTTTCTTTTTTTTCATAATTTTTCTACTTCTACTTTGCTGGGTTTTATTATACATTGCCCAGAATTGGTAAAGAGTTGGGTGGTGTAAATTAAATAAAATGTAAGCACCCACTTGTGTGTAAGCAACCTTATCTTTGGTAGCTTCCTGTTTAGCTGTAAAACCTGACAACCTCAGAGGAACTGGATATAGGCAGCATATAACCGGAATTGACAGAGGGTTCTCCCCCTCCCTCCCCATTTTGCTTCTGAACTTCCAGAGGTGCTGGGCCAGTCACAAATGCTAAACAGATTAGACAAAGATCCACTTAAGAAGTTCCATCTGTTTCTCTTAAACCAGGACAGATACTTTGCACCTAAGGACCACAAGCAGCCCTCAGACTAACTTCACCTTGCCTTTTGGTCTAATTTAGTACTGTTGGGAGGAGTTTAGAGAGAGACAAGCAAAAGAAAAGCCGAAAGTGGTCCATGATGCAGAGGAAATAGTTGTTTGCTCACAAGCCAGATAATTGCCACCTGGTCCTTCTGTGCAGTTCTGAAGGTTTAAGAGAAAAGTTATGGCACATAGGAATAACAGGAGGGTGGTTCTTCTCACCTTAAGTTCCAAACCTGCCTGCCCCACATTTGTGGCAGATGGGGGGGGGGGGAATAGGTATTTTCCCATTCCTATTTTAAACCACTCTTTTGTCAGACAAGTAGATACTGCTTCACCCATCATAGTGAAAGTGACGAGTTCCAGGTAAAAATATTTTTTTTTAAATAATGAGGCCTCCTCTGCATCATCCCCTGAACTTCTTTAATGCATACTAATCACCTTCCCTAATAGCCAAGGAAGGCCCAGGACAATGTTTTAGCATCATTTGCTTTCTGAGGAAAAATTTCCAAAGGTTTTTGAAAATGTTAATAACTCAGTGTTCCTTTAAAAAAAGAAAAAGATGTATACCTTTCCAAATAAATACGAAGCAAATGCATTTACTAAGAGTATGAATCTATAAACAATGTCTAGATATCTCACCAACTTCATAATCTGCTTCCACCAGTCCAATCTAATTCTGGATGCCATCTGGGGTATGATACATGGGCTTGGTTCATGCAACATGCCAAGTCCTTACTTAACCATCACGGGCTATGTTCAAACAAATAACAAATTCGAAGACCTATAGCATGGTGGGCCAGTTCAGGCAACATGTTATAAGCCAAACCACACAAGAACCACAAACCTGTCACCCATTTCATTCTTCAAGTGTGCTATGCAAAACTGTCAGAGGAATATTAAAGCCATGAACATTCATTAACCAATATCCTATTATCCGTAATGAATAGAATTTTTTTCCAGTCGGAAGTAGACACCCGATTTCCTCTAGATATTTAAATTATGAGTCCCTTCAATCCAACCACTATGATAAATGTGAAGGGTTATGGAACCTGCAGTTCAAATATCTGGAGGACACCAGCTTGTCAATCTGCCGGCAACTCTGATGTTCTCTGAATGCTAGCTGCAAATTCTGAGAATTGTGATCCCTAAATATTTAGAAGAAATCTATTAAGAAAGGCTGTGCTATGTTCACTTGATTTCTCTAATAGGGGACATTGTGCCCAACCACAAACAAAAGAAGATCATGAATAAATTTCTGACAGTAAAGTAATATTAAGTTCATGCAGCTAGGACAGCAGTCCTTTTTGACAGGTTGCTGCAGTATCAAGACAGATGGACCGATGATCTAACTAGAGTATTCTCAAGTTCCCACTGTTCAACTAAAATATTTTAAATGGGTGTTTTCTGGGAAAAGAATAGGAATACGGCAGTGGGGAAGATTAGGAAAGGTAGAAAAGATGATGCACAAAATTTGCTGAATAAGGTAGGAAAACTTCACGATCAAAGTTTCATCTCACTTTCATTTTAAGGCAATGCTTAAACCTGATGCTTAATTTCAAGCCATTTTTTAAGCACAAGCAGTAGCTGCCTCCCTCCACAGAAGTATCAAATAATAGAAGAGAAGCCTTTTCATCTGGTGTCAAAAACTACAAACTTCAGCTTTGTCTTCATTTCAGCCCCGGTGGCACAGTGGCTAGAATGCAGTATTGCAGGCTAAGTCTGCTGACTGCCAGCAGTTCAAATCTCACCAGGCTCCAGGTTGACTCAGCCTTCCATCCTTCCGAGGTCGGTAAAATGAGGACCCGGATTGTTGGGGGCAATAGGAGGACTCTGTAAACCGCTTAGAGAGGGCTGTAAAAGCACTGTGAAGCAGTATAGAAGTCTAAGTACTATTGCTATTTGAGAATTCCCAACAGCAACACAAAATAAAGAGACCTATGTTGTTGTGGAGAAAATAGGAGGAAGAAGGCATGTTGAATACATTCGCCGCCTTGGGATAGAAATAAATAAAAATAAAAAATAACCCTGATAATCAAAATCTTCTTTTCTTTATGTCCCTGCAGGAGCATATATGTCCAATAACTAAATTTAGCTAAGGCTCAAGAAAAGGGATCATAATCTTTGTGTTAATCCTGCTCTCTGCAAACTTTTCTTCATGTTGATGAAGACTTCTGAAGCCTTTGTATTCCTATGGGGGTTCCGACATCTTGGGGAATTAGGCTTTACATAGCATGAGGAGCCTACATGGATACAAACAAAACGAGGAGCGCGGTGGAGAATGCAAAGCAATGGAACTGTACCCCTGAAGTTCAAAATAGCTTTTGTCAATCATGAAGGGCCTGGAAAGTAAGCTAATCTGAGGTTAAAGATACAGCTTGTTTTCAATGAGATTGAACTTCCTTTGTAATCTGGTTATGTTCTTAAGACTCCTTATTATTCCTGATTGAGAGCTGTGGCCACCAGTATCTTTGCAAGTCTTTATCTAGTACCCCCATTGTACTCTCTCCGGGAAAACAAATCAAATTACTGTCACATATGCATAGATAATCATAACATGCATAATTTACATGACAGTAGTATTACACTAGATATTAGCACAATTGAGAAAGTCCAGAAATATTTCACAAGAAGAGTTCTCCACTCCTCTACTCGTTGTAGAATACCTTATGCCACCAGACTTGAAATTCTAGAACTAGAAAACCTTGAATTACGCCGTCTTCGGTCTGATTTAAGCATGGTATATAAAATAATACATTGCAATGTCCTACCTGTCAATGAATACTTCAGCTTCAACCATAACAACACAAGAGCACACAATAGATACAAACTCAAAGTTAACCGCACCAAACTTGATTGCAGGAAATACGACTTCAGCAATAGAGTGGTCAATGTCTGGAATACTCTACCCGACTCTGTAGTTTCTTCCCCAAACCCCAAAAACTTTAACCTTAGACTGTCTACTATTGACCTCACCCCTTTCCTAAGAGATCTGTAGGGGGCGTGCATAAGCGCACCAACGTGCCTACTGTCCCTGTCCTGTTGTTTCTCTTATTCTTCTTTTATCTTTCTTATATGTACCCATTTCATGTATTCACAACTATGTATACACTTATACTTATTATCTTGTAAACAATTGGCAAATCAAATAAATAAAATAAATAAAAATAGAACATTTACACTACAAAATAGCTGGAAACTTCGGCTGATTCCAAATGCAGACGTTAAAAATGGGAAGAATACAAATCATTGAAGGTGTCATATCAAACCAACTAGACAAGTTCACATTATTTCATAGACTCATTGTGGGACTGAATGCAAATTCTCAACACAAAAGTAGTTTAATTTCCTCTTTAACCAAAATGACTTTGAGATCAGGAATGAAATCTGGGAGGTGTTCAGGGACTGGGGTGAAGAAACAGTTATAGTAATAAAGGTCTGAAATTATCCTCGTTCTGGATAAATGCCTATTCTGATCTCAGAAAAGAAATGAACCAGCTCATAATCAACTACATAGATAAAAGTTTTATCATTTTAATTATAAATGGGGGTTGCTCAGATTTGTGAAGGATGTGAATCTCCTGCCAACTGAATCCATCTACACAACCAGGAGGGAATGCTTTGGGTTCCTCCCATCAGGAGTGGGTGGGTGTCAGTGGTGGGATTCATTTTTTTAAAATACCAGTTCTGTGGGCGTGGCTTGGTGGGAGTGGTGTGATTTGGTGGGAATGGCTTGGTGGGCGTGACAGGGGAAAGATACTACAAGATTCCCATTCCCTCCCCACTCCTGGGGGAAAGTTACTGCAAAATCCCATTCCCTCCCCACCCCACTAATCTGCTTTCCAGCTCCGTTCTGCTATGCAGGGCAACAAAAATAAGACCCGGTTGATCAGCTGGGACTCGGGAGGCAGAGAATAGATGGGGGCAGGGCTAGTCAGAGGTGGTTTTTGCCAGTTCTCCAAACTACTCAGAATTTCCACTACCGGTTCTCCAGAACTGGTGAGAACCTGCTGAATGCCACCTCTGGTGGGTGTGTACCAGAGGAAGGCCTTCTTA